GAAGAAAAATGCAGCCAGCTCCCTAGGTGACCTGGGGTAAGTCACTTAACCTTGGCCTCTGCACCTGTACTCGTTTGGGGGCAGAGGGAGGGCAGTAGCTGCCTGTTCTGAGATGGTCCCCAAGGGCTCTTCCCTTATTAGGCTTCTAGAATTCGAAGTCAAAGCCATGCACCCCTAGAGTTCAGGATTCTAATTCATCAGCGTTCTCCTGACGGAGAGTCACCGGGTCCCTTCTGGGCCACGGGTATTTACGGAAAGTCCCAGGAAGGGAAGCGGGCCCGCCGCAGGGAACAGGCGCGGCCCAGAGAGAGGCCTGGGGCGGGCTCTGGGAGCTGGGCTTCTGCCAGAGGTCACCCCCCCTCGCTCCGCGCATTCCCCTCGCGCTTTCCAAGAGGCTGCTTCAGGAGCCTGTGAGAGCGGTTTCCGCTCCCCCCCCAAGGTGTACTGCAAAGGCCGGCTGAGCCAGGAAGGCCGCACAGCCCAGCAGCCCGCACCAGCTGGTCCCTAGGTGGAGGGAGGCCCAGGCCTGGGATCTCCCCCAATACCACTGAGGACGGACAGCAAGGGCTGTCTGGAGGGGACGTGGTGGGATCAGAAGTGTAAAAGGGCAGAGATTTTTTTAACTCTTCAATTGGTGGGGGGACAGGGAAAGAATAATAGAACAGTGAGAACCACAAAAATGTCCTGCTGGAAGAAAGAGAGGGTGGCATGTAATCGGATGGCTATGTACATACCACCCTCATTTAAATTCATTTGCAGTGAATTTAAAAAGGGCAATAGGGAGGGCGGTCTGACAGCTTCCTCTCCCTCCCACCCCACGAGGTCCTGGCAGCGGCCCCTGGAGCACGCAGACAGGAGGCGCTGGCTTGACCCGGGGGTCCCTAGCTGCCGAGGCCAGCCCCTTGCCTGACACGAGAGCAAAACTCCCGTCCTGCGACCAGGCTTCATCGAGCATCTCTCCCACCGTATCTGGACCTCAGTGGTTCTCACACCGCACTTCTCAACATGCGGTGCTGGGACCAGGGGCAGCATCACCTGGAAACGCTGGAAAGGCCCATTCATTCTGGGGGTGCTCTGTCCAGAGCTTGAGCCCGCAGCCGGACTGCCCTCCAGGTGGGCCCGACGCACACGCGAGTTTGAAAACCACGGACGGGGCAGCGCTGGGAAACGCAATCTTGCGCCAGCCAGTTTCGGGGGATTTCTGTTTTTATAATGGCAAGTTGGATGATGTTTTTACACTACCAGGGCTTTCACTGCATTGAATTCTTGCTGTGATAAAAGTGTTCGTTTTATGTTGCCCTTTTATGTTTAATGCAAAAAAGTAAAAAAATGTTCCCTGTGCCCAATTTCTCAAGATAATTATGGGTCCCTTCCAAGAGTTTATACATATGGTCACCATCTACTTCATGGCCAATGTAAAAATGTGTAGGCATTTATGAGAAAACTTATTCCGAGGTGTGGGACTATGTGGAATATTATGAGTAAATATCCCAGAAGTACTTTGAAAATGTTTTTTCCACCAGTTGATTCTGCATTTTCCTGGCTGGCTGTCGGGTCAACACAATGAGTCAACATTACATCGAGATCTTATCAGAAGTGGTTCTCAGGCTCTGCTGCACCTTATAATCAGCCGGGGAGATTTTAAAATTCAAAAACCGAGGCTAAGACGGGAGACGGGTGAAAAGGGGAAAGGGACTGAGATGTACAAATTGCCAGTTATAAAAACGGTCACAGGATGTAAAACACAGCATAGGGAATATAGTCAACGATATTGCAAAAACTATGTACCGTGTCAGATGGGTACTAGATCTATTGAGGTGATCACTTTGTAAATTATATAAATGTCTAATCACTATGTTGTACACCTGAGGTTAATTATTATATGTCAAGAGTCATTGAAAAATAAAAAATTAAAACAAAAAACAAACAAACCAACAAAACAGGCCTAATGCCAGCAAACTGAATCAGAAACTCTGGGGAATGGAGCTCAGGCATCAGTATTTTTATTTTTTTTCACTCTCCAAGTGCTTGCAACGTGCAGCCAAGCTTGAGAACCAGTAGATCAGGGAACAAAATCCTAATCCAGACTGCTGACAGGCTAGTCTTCCTGAAATGCAGCCCTCTGGATTTTTCTCCTTCATTCAACAACTTTCAACACATTGTAGCTGCCCCCGAGACACATCTAGACGCTCTACTTCTAGCCACATGCCCCTCCACCCTCACTGCCCCCTGGCCCACCCCTGCAGCAGCTCATCCTCCGGTGTCTGCACATGGGATGTCCTGTCCTGACACTCGGGGCCTGAGGCACCTCCCCAAATGCCCCCACCCCACCATGATCTTTTTATCACCTGCACTCCTGTCCCATGTCATCACTGACTTCATCATCTTTTAACAAGGTTCTCTCACTGCCCAACTAGATTATAAACTGTGAGGTCAGACCACTGGCTTCTGCAGAACTTTACACACCCAAGGACGGGGGCCTGAACCGCATCTTGGTTGAGTGACTGATGCGAATGGAGAGCTGCTCCTGTGCAAAGGATGCTGGGAGGTCAGGATATCTGCAAAGGGAAGGCAACCAATCAATGGGCTCTTGATCCATCC